CATCCATCCATCCATCCATCCATCCATCCACCCATCCATTCATCCATTCATCCATTCATTTATCCATCCATCCATCCATCCATCCATCCATTCATCCATCCATCCATCCATCCATTCACCTATCCATCCATGCCTCCATCCTCCATGCCTCCATGCCTCCATCCATCCATGCCTCCATCCATCCATCCATCCATCCATCCATCATCCATCCAACCCCTGTCCCAAGTTCTACAAATGCTTACCTGAAATTTGGTGTGGGAGTAACTGAGACTGATCCACAACACACTGTATGAGAGCCAACTGATCACACCGTTACTGTTAACTTTGCTAGTAAAATATCTCTCAAACCACTGGGCAGACCAATGAAACTCAGGAAGTTTTAGCAGGGTGCACATGTTAATCTGAATTTAAGATGGCTGTCACAACGAGAACTGTTGATACTTCAAATGGAGCAGATGAGTTGAAGTCTGGGGTGGCAGTAGCTGTGAGTCGTCCACAACAGAATGGAACACTGACCCAAACATTCACAAGATCTCAGGCTGACATGAAAGTGGCAGGCAACATGCATTCACTCTACTTTTAATTTGAAAAAGTAGAGTTTCCTTCATTTCCGTTTCCTCTCTATGGGACAGATTGAAACCTGTCTGAACAATGTGTTTCAAATATCCTCTTACATGGTAAAAAATAAATCTAAAAAAGTTAAGTCTGGTTCTCTGGATGAGTTCAAAAAATAAAAAAATTGTAGAAACATTGTCTTTCATCCAAAAAACTTCTTCAGTTTGAGGAGCTGTAATCAGCCCAGTCTTATCAATAGCACCTTCTCATAGTGGATCAACCAGTTTGTTGCTGACATTCAAAATTAGCTCCACTATGATAAGGTGCTATTTGTAAGATTGAGCTTGACAGAGATCCTCAGATTGAAGAATTCTTTCAGATGAAAGACAAAATGTTTCTACAATTTTTTTATTTTTGAACCCATCCAGAGGACCTGACAACTTTTATGGAATGTGTTTCAAAGTACTGCCACATTTCAGTAGGGTCGGGTCCTGTGTGGCTCACCTGTATGAGCTGCCCCCCGTCATGTATGTCTGGGTTCCGCTCATGTTGGGGGGGTACTGCAGCCCCGGCAGCTCGTAGCGGTGCAGCTGCTGGCTGTAGCCAAGCCCCTCACCCTGCATGCTGGGGTAGGGTCCGGGGGAAGCCCAGCTGTAAGCCTCCATCCTGGGACTGCTGGCTGTCAGGGTCCCGGCCCCAGACAGCTGGTACTTGGCCACTTGCGCGTCCTTCTTCAGCAGGGGCTTGGTCTTCCGTCGAGGCTTGTACTTGTAGTCTGGGTAGTCCTTCATGTGGACTGCCCGGAGCCTCTTGGCCTCGTCAATGAAGGGTCTCTTCTCTGAGTCCGTCAGCAGTTTCCACTCGGCCCCCAACCGCTTGCTGATCTCGGAGTTGTGCATTTTGGGGTTTTCATGGGCCATCTTCCGCCTCTGACCCCGGGACCAGACCATGAATGCATTCATGGGCCTCTTGACTTTGTCCATGGGATCCGTTCCAGGTGGACAAGCTGGTTTCTGGTGTGAGTTGGTCCCAGTGATCTGAGACATCCCCGCAGAGGTCTGGTGGTTCTGTTGGGTCTGGGTCTGTCCCACCGGCTGCAGCTCGTGCTCCATCAGGCTGTACATTGTGGACAGGTGTGCACCTGTGGACTTGTGGTTTCCCAGATGGTCTAACCAGGACTACCAGCTGACTTTAATTAATTACCCTGAACACACCCGGAGCCAGATGAGACCAAGTGGTTCTTCTTTCTGCCTGCTTCCAGTCACGAGTTTCTCATTAAAGTTCAACTTTACAAATCAGAGACTGAAGAGGACTGAGATACCGGCAGCACCTGTCAGACAGACCCAGGACTCTCTGGAGTCCACTGGTCCCACACCATCCCTCTGGTTCTGTAAGGGACCAATAGGAGGCCAGGATTGTGGTGGATTTGAATGTGAATTGGTTCTGATGGCATGTCAAACACTTGTTGATGTGTGCATGGGAGGAGGGGGCATTCACATAGGCGGATCAAAACCCAGGACTTCAGGGGGGTAGGGCCATTGTGGTTTGTGAATAATGACTGATTTAGTCGGGACTCCAAGTTTTCCTCAGTGATCTTTACTGACAACTATACAGGAAACAAATCTGAAAACCAGAACCACAGGGTCCACACTCAGCACAATCAGGTTTGTCTTCAACCCCAGCGAGTCTGCCTGTCAGCAAAATATCTTATCCGTAACAGATTTTAATGAAACCTTCTGGAAGTAATCACTGAATGTTCATCTACCAAACTCAAAGGTCAAATTTTTTTTATTTGTCATACGCACCACATGTAGTACATGTTGTGGAATGAAATTGTGTACACAGGGTCCCAGTTACATCCAACAAAAGTATAAAATGTAAAAGAAAAACACAAAAACTTCAACAGGTTTATAACAGGTGCAGCCACTCATAAAGAAGAAAAACCTCGACCCAACACTCCTCTTAAGTTATAGACCGATTTCTAAACCGCCTTTTCATCGAAAATTTTAGAGAAAGTTGTTTTTAATCAATTGAAGAGGTTTTTAACTGCAAACAGCATTGGTGAAAAATTCCAGTCAGGTTTTAAATCAGGTCACAGCAGCCCTTGTAAGAGTTTTTAATTACTTTCTTTTAACCGATGATGTAGGAAGCTCTGCTGTTTTAGTGCTTTTAGACCTTCCTTTGACACTGTGGACCACAACATCTTGTTGTCATGACGAGCAGGTGGTTGGCATCAAAGGGACAGTTTTATCCTGGTTTAGATCCTATCTGCCTGACAGGAGTTTTTCTGTTTATTTAGGGGAATGTTCATTATCTGCGACTCCTCTGAACTGTGGGGTCCCTCAAGTCTTTCTTAGGTCCACTGCTTTTTAATCTTTATATGTTGCTCTAAAAAGTTAAGTCTGGTCCTCTGGATATTCAAAAAAAAAAAAAAACAGACAAAAAAAATAGAAATGTTTCATCTTTCATCTGAAAGATTTCTTCAGCCTGAGTTGCTGTATTCAGCTCAGTCTTATAAATAGCACCTTCTCGCAGTGGATCAACCATTTTGCTGCTGACAGCCATAACCAGCTGCTCACATGATCAAGGAGGACCATCAGCCTAATGATGGATCGTTAGCACACTGATGGCTGTTTGCTATTCACAGGGGGCTGAGTGATGGTAGCAATAACAGCATTGTAAGAGGGGGACAGTTGAACAAGGAGGCCTCCACCCCTGTTAAATCATGGACAATTTTTTTACACAAAGATGGCCTCCTTAACTCCTCTCTCAAACCATCGTTCCTCTCTATCCAGGATGTGAACATCTTCATCCCTGAACGAATGACTGCTGGCCTGGAGATGAGTGTAGACTGCAGAGTACTGGCCTGATGATGCTGATCTTCTGTGCTGGGCCATCCATTTGGCCAGTGGCTGTTTAGTTTCCCCGATGTAAGACTGATCACAACCCTCCTGACACTGAACAGCATACACAATATTACTCTGTTTGTGCCGGGGGACTGGATCTTTGGGATGGACCAGTCTTTGCCGTAATGTATTTTGGGGTTTAAAAGCCACTGGGACGTTATGTTTAGAAAATAAACGTCTCAGTTTTTCTGATACTCCTGCAGCATACGGAATGACCACTGCTTTGGGTCTGGGTTCCTCCTTTTCACCTGATGGCTGACTGGAGTCCTGTTTGTGTTTCTTCTCTGCTTTCAGGAAGGCCAAGTTAAGATATCCACATTGCTCTAGAGCCTGTCTTGTGTGGGATTTCTCCTTCTGAATGGCTCCTGAGTTAGTGGGGACGCTGTCTGCTCTGTGGTACAGAGTCTTGATGACTCCTAACGTGTTCCAAAGGGTGATGGGAGTCAAACTGCAAATACTGGTCTGTGTGAGTGAGTTTATGGTACACCTCAGTTTGCAAATGTCCTCTATCAGAAACGCTGGTTATGTACTGTAACCCCAGATTCTATGAGTATAGGCGCAGCCCTTTTAGGCTATCGCTAGTGGGTTTATCCCTACGCGCACAGCACAGCACTGAAAACTTTAGTCCACGCCCACCTACTGTGTGGGCCTCATCCCCGGTCCGTATAAATTATGGTGTGACCAGGTAATCGCCTCCCAAATAGCTTTATTTTCAGCCTTTAGGAACCAGTGAGGCCCAGAGCTTAAAGGGCTGCACCTATACTTATAGAATCTGGGTTTACAGTACATAACCAACGTTCTATTTCATATAGGCTTCACCCTTTAAGTCTATCGCTAGTGGGTTAAAGGTGAAGCAGGATGTAGTCTATGCTTCACTGGGTCCATTCAGACATAACATGAAGCACCCGCTTACACAAAAAAACATTTAATCCCTTAGTCTTCTGTGTGCGTAATTACGCGCTGCATAACTGTGTGCTCCATCCGCAGGAGCGCACCGGAGAAAGATCTCTGGTGAGGAAAAAAGGTTGAGATAGCAGACCTGCTGCTGTGAATTGGAACAACGGAGGATACGAATTGTAACAGTATAACGATAAACAGAGCAGACTAACAGCTCCTCAGGATGAACCTATTAATAACGATAAAATCAGCAGTCATGAACTTGTGACTGATAATAAATATCTCACACTGTGACTGCATGCAGGCAGGTGTGAGCTCAAAAGTGAGGCTCCATGACACAAATAATAATCATTCTGTCAGAACCCTGAGAACAGAAAGGGTCATGGAGAAAGTAGAAACATCACGTAGATAAAAAACAAATAATTGAACATGGCGATGACCAGGCAGCCACCATACAAATATCCTCCACTGCCATCCCTCCGTGCAGAGGCATGGAAGATGAAAACCCTCTGGTGGAATGCGCTGAGATTCTCTGGAGGATGCAGTACAGGTAAACTGTAAGCTTCAGAAATAGCCTCACACAACCAGTGTGAGAGGCGCTGGGTGGATAAAGGACATCCTGAAGAGCTGTCCCAGTAATGCACGAACATACGCTGAAAGCGGCGCAGTGCGGCTGTGTGTGCCAGGTAACATGAAAAATGTGTGCATGGGACAGAAGGAGGTAAGATATTGCTTCCTCCTAAGAATTATGAGGAAGAGGAAAAAACCCATCCAAGGTTATCACTCTCGATCTGAATGAGCTTGTGATGCTTTTCAGAGCAGGGTTAAAAAGCAGTACAGCTGAACTGCCATTAGCTTGAATACTGAGACATGAGGGAGCAACAGAGAGAGCAGATAATCACTCACTCTCTTTGCCGACACCAGAACTAAAAGCAGGGCTGTTTTAAATGACAGAAATTTAACTAAAACCTGATCTAAAGGCTCAGAAGGAGCTTTGATCAGAGCATGCAGGACCATCATTAGGTCTCACTGTGGAGCTAGTGGATGTTACACCGGTCTGTGTCTCCGTACACCTTTCAGGAAACACTTCACCAACGGGTGATTAAGAACTGTTCTGTCACTGAAGCCCTTGTAACAGGAAGAAATAGCTGTAGCATAAGTTTTAATTGTGCTGAACGTTAGATCTCTGTCCATCAGCTGCTGCAGAAAGGACAGCATGCCACCTAGTGGCCATGAGATGGCCTCCATGCCTTTCTTTGCACACCAGCGCTGAAAAACTGTCCACTTGATGTGTACAGCATTGTGGTAGAAGCAGCTCGTGCGCCCTGAACGTACACACCACATCCTGTGGGAGGCCCATCTTTTCTAAACGGATCTGTACAGCGGACAGACGCAAAGATGTTGACCTATTTCTGGGTAACTCCTGATCGCTCTTCCTGCCTGGAGGAGAGCCCCCCCCCCCACACACACACACGCACACACAGCAGTTTCCACGTCAGACCCGATATCGATCGCTGCAGGTTCGAGAACCACGGAGCGCATATGCGTTTGGGAGCTATGATGATGACTAACAGTTCTTCCTCACAGACCCGTTCCAGGGTCCGTGATATCAGCAGGACTGGAGAGAATGAATGCTGGATGCTGGAAGCATAACAGCACTCTCTTGCCCTGACATTACCTCTTAATTTAGAAACACTGTTATTTCATATAAATTTAATATTTGGATCATGGGTAGGAGTCGCTCACCATTTCTGCCTGAAGACTTTTGGAAAATGGCACGATAATCTCTCTTCCAGAGCCCTGGAAGAAAATCTCCTTAACCCCCAAAAGAAGTCCTAATCCTGAGGAATCTGGTCTGGAGTCAGCCCGGCTGAACAAAAGGTATTCCTATATTTGAATAAAAAATCCTCTTATGAGCTGTTCCAGGTTCCTCTGTTTTAGCTCCAGGGGATATAGCCACACTGTCATGTCGGGTTTTAACTGGCGGGCCCACATGCAGAAAACACTCGGCAGAATCGAAAACAGTTAAAGAATTTATTATTTACAGGTAGGATATATAGTAAAAAAAAACAATTCAGGTAATAGTGTCCAGGGAGGTCTGCTTCGGAGGTGCGTGGACTGCAAACATGGAAGAGAGTAAATGGTGAGTTCAAGACAATGGGAAATTAGCAATCG